CAATACTCAGGAGTATTACGGTCACAAACACCTAAAATCAGACAAAAGGATCTTCAAAAATATCGAAACAAATATTTTTTAGCAATTTTTGAATTTTTGAAAAAAATCGATGATTTTTGTATTTTTATAAATAACTTTTTTATCTATTAATATTTTCATTAATTCTTGTCAAAATTACATTCCTGACATGAAAACAAATCGATTAATGTATGGGGCATTCCAGGCCAAATCGGAAATTATTTTGCTTTTGCATCTTAAATTTGTTTTTTAACATTTTTTTTCTTTTAGTACTCTTTGAAATGAGCTACCTTGATTTTTTTCAAATTTTTTTCATAAAGCGGTTTAGAAGATACAGATTTTTGAAAAATGACGTTTTTAAGGTATTAGTCACGGAGTTGGCTCTGGTCAAAAGTTTACCGGGCCGCTTACTAGAGTGGGGCAGTGAGAGTGAGTGTGATAGTTTAACTCCCCACTCTATTCGTTCGTATGAAAATTCAAATTCAATTTTGTATAAAAAAAACAGTAACCAATCATTAAAAAAAAGAAAAATATGTTAAATGCACTCTTTATATATTCATATTCATTAATTCACAAGTTTTATTCTTCCCACATCTTCATACTTACAATTAACAACTAAATGCATCGGAAAATCTTACAATCCTACGGGATTGAACACCTACCTAACCATACAACTAAATATACGCATAATTATAAATCGCACGCTTTTACATTAAGCCTCTCGGCTACGCAATCGATGGGGGAAATTTCCTATTTAAGAAACATCATTATTCCCTCTTAGACTATATAAACAGTCTTGTTTAAGCTGATGAATGGGATAACTTGTGTTGAGTCCCAAAGTGTTCAGCTATGAAACTTCTAATACTATAGTGTGTACCTGTCACATATTATTCTATAAAGGAGTACTACACTGACTGCATAAATCATTTTTCCATTTTTCTCCGTGTATTCTTTTTCTTCAAATGACACAATAAAATTGTACCTAGTCATTAATCTTGTAAAAATATTATATTAAGCAACAAGGGTATAAAGGCAGCCATTTGTTTACGGTGATTTTTGTGACACGAGTCGAGGTCAAGGGCGCCCCGAGACCTCCACTTGTGTCACAAAATCATCGTGATTAAATTGGCTGCCTTTATTCCCGTATTACATACGATATTTTTTGTTTCTAATGCACAAAAGTGTCGATTTCAGATAGCAGACGACAGGGAGTAAAAGTCATTCACTTGTTCGACTTGTATGAAAATGGCGGCCTTTTTTACCTTGGGCAAAAAAAGTATGGGACCAACTGTTTTTTTGCCCTCGGAAAAAAAATCGCCATTTTCATACGGTCGAACAAATAAATGACTGTTCAAAACAGGCAAAAAGAAGGCTTTTTAGAATTTATTATTAAAATAACTATGACATTTATTTAAAAAATTTCTTTTACATGTAAAGAATAATTTAATTAAGAATTTGTAAAAAAAAATTTCATTTTTATTTCAAAATGGCGGCGATATACGCCATTTTCGAAAATGCCCATTCTCGGTGGTAAGATCGATTCCAAACTTTCTATAACACATAAAACCAAAAACGAAGTGACATTCTCTTCGTTAGATATTTATTTAGGTGTGGAAACTCAAAAAAGTGGAATTTTCTTCCCCCCGTTTTTTTAGAGTAGTTTTTCTCTAAAATATGCAAAAAAAGGTGTTTTTATTTAGAATTTCTCTTATAAAATAAAGAGATTTAGAAATTTTCCAGTTTTTAAGGTTCTACTTATAGGCATGATGACGCTGAATCAAAGGCCGTTTGATTTTTTAAAATCGCTTCAGAAAAACTCGAGATATCACTCTTACCAGATCAAAAAAAGACATTTTGAGAAAAACGCATTTTAAGTTTTTGTTCATAAGTTTTAAAATTTTTTTAAAAAAATCATCGGATTTGCTTGAAAATCGTTACTCGGGGGTTTTCGAGGTCGCTAACTACGAATATTGAATCAGATTTTTAAAATTCAAAATGGCGGATCCAATATGGCGGGCATTCTTTTTTTAAAATCATTGGATTTGCTTGAAAATCGTTACAGGGGGTTTTAAGGTCGCTGACTACGAATATGACATAATTTTTTTAAAATTAAAAATGGCGGATACAATATGGTGGACGAAAAAAAAATTAAAAAAAAAAATTTTTTTTGATCCATGTTGGATCCGCCATTTTTAATTTTGAAAATTTGATATCTAATTTGTGATCAGCAACACCAAATACATTTTTGTTTGTCTTTTTCAAAAAATGCAAATGAGAAAACATTTAAATCACTCGATTGCTTATCCGCATACAAAAACATCTTTGACATGGCAAAGAATAAGGATGTATAACTTTTGTTTTACTTCGAACATTGCAATATTATTTTAGGAGAGTATTCTTGACACTATAAAAAATCCAAAAATAAAAACAAAAAAAATATATTTTTTTGACATTTTGAACTGGAATGTCCCCTTAAAGAATAAAAAGTCTTTAAAGGCCAATTTAAACATGAAAATTAGGTTCTAATTTTTAAAAATTCAATATTTTCAGTATTTTTAATTTATATTTCCAAAAATCTAAATACATACAAAAATAATATTTTAGAATTATTTTTAAAAGTTTGGAATAAAAATTTATGTTTAAATTTTTAATTGACATTCATCAAAAAATTAATAATTTTTTTTTAATTATACAAAAACTCTTTTAAAGAAAACATTTAAAATTTGGTAAAATCTTTTACAAATAATAGAATTTTTATTAAAAAATATTAATAAAAATGATCAAATTTTTGTAGAATTTTAATTATGAACAGGACCATAATTTCTCAAAAAATTCAATGAGTCCAAAAAGTAAATATTCATAAATTTTTATTTACATTGAGGTAAGGCTTTCTGAAGCGTACTTATGATTTGCGAAGGGTATTTTAATTTCATTGAAACACTATATTTTAAAAGTAAATGAGATAATTCATTAAATTTTCTTTACAGCATTTTATTCTACGTGAAATGTGGAACTATTACAAAAAAAATTTCTGGGCCTGCATTTTATTTACAAAATAAAGCTATATTTTTGTTAAGCGCCATATTGGATCCGCCATTTTGAATTTAATTTTAATTAAAATTTTCGAAATTATGTATCAAATGCTTAATAAATAAAGCATTAACTAACAAATTGAAACTGACTCAACGCATGTAACGCGGCAGTGCAACCGCCCGCGAAACTGCACGCTCCATGTCTTTTTTACAGCGCGTAACAGGCTTAAAAAACCATCGGTACACTTCAGAAAGCCTTACCCATTGTTCGAAGATAATTGAATCTTAAATAATTATACGAATTAGTTTTTTAAAATATTTGCGATTGTTCACAACTGGAGGCGGGGTGGGAGTCAAAAATTGATGAAAAATTGTCCATTTGGTTTGTGGAACAACGATAAAATTTATACCTCTCACTCATACCTCGTTCTCGATCTCCCTTTCTTTTACTCCTTAATCTATCTGTGAGTGAAAAAAGAAAAATAATTAGCCAATAAGGAAATAAGACGTTCATTTCGTATTTTGGCTTGAAAGTAAAATTCCCCACTTTTCCTTTCCCTGTCAAATTCTGTTCCTCTCTTTCTACCTGACACGGAAAATGGAGAAAACATGATACCTTCTTCTAAACCCAAAAAGTGGGCATTACTTTCTTAACTATTTGTCTCTCTTTCGCTCCTACTCTAAACTAAAAGAAGAGACAATACCTCCCTCCTTCTCTTTCTCTCTCACTGTGAACAGAATATATAAGGAAAGACTAACTTAATATATATAGATATAATAATAATATTCGCTTCTCTTTCGCTCCTACTCTAAACTAAAAGGACAGGCGATACTTTCCTCTCTTTCTCTCTATCAACCTTTCTCTCTCACTGCGGACAGAATGTACACGCTCTGGACAGACTGAATGAAAGAATACGAAGATTATTATAGTTAATTGCGATTGTGTATTTATTTATTTATTTCTCGCAGTAAAAAGTAAAGTATGATTTCATTGTATGCCCTTTCGGGCCTTTACAATCTCCTCAACATCACTATACTAAACTCTTCTAACTCACAAACTCTTCCTCCATGTCCCTACTTTTGCGGCTGCAGCCGACTTAGGTTAGGAGTACTCGCATTCGCCTGGACATTCAACCAGGGGAGAGGAAAATTGCAGAAAACCTATTTCCCGAGTACAATCGGTTTATTGATGTCGAGTCATAAATGTACATTTGGATAGCCATCACAAATGCACAAACATAACCTCGGCATCAAACCTCCCGTTTGATATATCTCATCAGTGAAAAACACCGAAACTGTAGCGATTCACAGAGGGTCACCCATCCAAGTACTAACCGCACTCAAAGTGGCTTAACCTCTGTGATCGCAAGCAACGGGATTCCACCAACCGAGCTATACCATCGGCTATTTTTATTTCTGTCAGTAGATGGACTTGTTTCTTTCTACTCTAACTGGATTTGTAATCAGCGACCCCGAAAACCCCCGAGTAACAAGTTTCTGGTGAAACAAAACGATTTTAAAAATAACGTCCGCCATATTGGATCCGCCATTTTGAATTTTAAAAATATAACACCGGAATCGTATTCAGCGACCCTGAAAACCCCCGAGTAACAAGTTTCTGGTAAAACTAAACGATTAAAAAAATCGCCCGCCATCTTGGATCCGCCATTTTGAATTTTTAAAAAATGATGTCATATTCGTAATCAGCGACCTCAAAAACTCCCGAGTAACAATTTCCAAGCCAATCCGATCAATCTGTAAAAAAGTTGATTGCCATATTGGATACGCCATTTTGAATTTAAAAAATTTTATAATTCTGATATCAGATTCGTAATCAGCGACCCCGAAAACTATGCATAACGTTACACTTACGTTTTTTTAACCGTCCAGTTATGCCTGGGTGTGAAAGGGGTAACAGCGACAAAGGAGTCGACTTTGGAGGAGGAGGACATGGATATCCTCGAACTTCACACTTCGCCGGTAAAAATCTCCCCGCCTAAACTCGTTTTCTTCCAATCAGGTGATCCGAGTCACCCCCAAACCAAAAAACCACCACAGTCTCAACGTTCCTCCCACTCACAAAACGACTCGAGATGGAAAATCAAGTCGGAAAAGGAAAAGGGCAGTTTGCGGTTGACCCTAGCTCGATGTAGTCCGAAAGAAAAAACACTTTCGGCTAAGCAGGAAGTTCGAAGAGCATGGGAGAAGGCCCAGATAAAAGAAGCCCACGGAGATCCTGAAAGCTTGAAACGGCCAAAGCCCCCACGAAAAAGGTCACCGGAAAAACATCTGACTAGGAAATCTTTTTCTCCACGTCAATCACCAAAGGAAAAGAAAAAAAAAATCAAAACACCCAAGGAGAAAGCCGCAGATCCTAAGAAGAAGAAAAAGGAAAAAAAATCTAAGCAGAGACCCTTAAGTTCCGAGAAGAGGAAGAGTTATTGGCCGAGTCCGACAAGACCAGGAGCGCGACCAAGCACCTACAAAACTCCCAAAAGGTATCGACCTTCGGGAGAATCAGCTCTAACACCCGCGACAACTGCGCGCCGCGTTTTGTTTTAAGTATCTAATTTTTCTTTTTTTTTTTTCTCCGTTTAATTATTATATTTTTTATTTTTTTTTTTAGTTTGTTTTCATGACATAAGAAGAATTTTTTTTTTTTTTTTTTTGCAACTAAATATTTGGGTTGTTAAACCAAAGACACATGTGAGGAGTGACATTTGTAATGCTTGTGAGACTCTTTAGATTATATTTTTTATCCTCGTTACTTGTGTACAAAAAAAAAAAAAAAGGTGTGCGGTTTTGTTGTTTCTCATCAACATAAAGTTTAATTGTACCAGCAACTGAGTATCTTAGAAAGATTGTTCTAATTCGTTTATTTCGTTTACCTACGGACAGTAGGCAATTCTTATTTTCAAATGTTCACATTATTGTATTTTTAACACCGTGAATGTATTCTGTACAAATAATTCGAGTTTACGAAATCAATGTAAAATGGATTCAATTTTTTTTAAAGCAGAGCTACGTTATAGAGAGTGAGGTTGTGTGTGGAGTCATTATAAAACTATTTTTTTTACACTGGCGACGCCTTCGACCAAGATAGACCCCCAGGATTTGTTGTACAACAAAAAATAACTTTATTTTCAAAACATTCTATCAGTGGTCGAGGGCCTCACCAACGAAAGGTACGTGTATGCCGAAGTGTGCTCGCGCGCGTGTCCTTCCGCTAGCCAATCATAATGCCTCGCCCCACTCGCGGTGTCCCCATTCGTACGAACGACCGAGCTCGAGACCGACGACTGAAAGTTCACTATTCACGGAGCTGCCGACCGGCAAACATCTCTCTGACTCGCGCCTCGTTCTCCCCCATTTTTATAAAGCAGAAATTCTTAATGTGTTCTCAATAAAAGTAAAAATTTAAAAGGTTTCCTTTGTTTAGTTCTTTCGGTGGGTTTCCACCGCCTTTTCAAAAAATAGTACCTAAATCGTTTTATCCGCGCAGTCTAGACTCGGCGAGGAATCTGGACGTCATCTTGGGACCTGTCGAAACCGGATCATTCACCGAATCACTTCAAGATACCTCCCAGGGATCTAACAAAGACCGTCTTCCTTCTTTCCTCCGCTCGATCTTTCCAAGTTACCTCTGACGGGAACCAGGAAGATCGAGTTCTTCCATTACCTTAATTCTAAGGTCCCAGTGTCGGGACCCGGGAAAACCTTTAGTCTAACAACTTTTCGGTCTGATTAAGATACCTGGCCCGGGATCTGAAGGGGTTTAGTTTCCTCTTTTCTCTTCCCCCAACACTTCTCAAGGTACCTTCTCGGGACCGGAGAAAAAAACAAAAAGAATACTTTCCTTCGCTCACCACCTATGATACCATTTATTGGGATCAAGTACACACTTACACGTATCTACTACACCTGTAAGGCCTTCTTTTCTTATCCCTAGTTGTTTTTCCAAGATACCTCCACGGGATCGGGGAAAACTTCCCAGATCCAATTCTCCCCTATTTCACAAAAAACAAACTCTTCAAGATCCCTTCACGGGATCCGAAGGATTTAATCGTCAAGTTCTTGTACGGGTTGAGGGGAGCCGTGAATTGCTTCGTACTGGCCTCCTTGGTTGTGTCTTATGGGGCATTCATGCTCTTTTACATTATTTGTCACTTAGAAAATCGCTGTACGGTTTTTAAAGATATTTCCAAGTTTTCCGTGTGAGAGAGTCCGTACACATTTTACTTTTCACCCGCGAGTGCTAATGAATTAACCAAAGTTTGTTCTTTTTTTATTAACATTTTTAACTTTTTTATAAACATTATTTTCCTTTTTTAATCCATTAATGCGCATGGGCACAGGAACGCACATATAAAAAGTAACTATTGAGATCCTGGTATTGGGTCTAATGATAATTTTTGACGTTAAAAATTTAAAAAAAAAAATTTTTTTGTAACAATTTGTTATAAACAAATGAAAAAAATTGATTTTCTTTAAAAATTGATAGCGCCATTCGATTCGACGCAAAAAACTACTACGAGAACGTATATTACATAATTTTTAAAAAAAGACATTATGGTTGTCAAAATTATATAAACAATTAGCCTGCATTTATACTGTATTAGATAGAATGATTGTTTTTGAAGTTAAAAATTTTTTTAAACAAAATTAGTTTAATAAGGAGAGTTTTTGACGTTAAAAATTTTTTAAACAAAATTTTTACCTGAAAAACGATCCTTCTATCTCATACAGTATAAATGCAGGCTAATTGTTTATAACATTTTTACAATAATAGTATGTCTTTTTTTAAAAATTATGTAATATACGTTCTCGTAGTATTTTTTGCGTCGAATCGAATGTCGCTATCAGTTTTTTTTTTATGAAAATTAATCTTTTTTCATTTGTTTATAACAAATTGTTTAAAAAAATTTTTTTTTTAAACTATTAACGTCAAAAATTATCATTAGACCCTATGCCAGGATCTCAATAGTTACTTTTTATATCTGCGTTCCTGTGCCCATGGGCATTAATGGATTAAAAAAGGAAAATAATGTTTATAAAAAAGTTAAAAATATATTATTAAACTGTTTATAATAATAATATATACGTATATAATTAATAAATGTATTAGGGGCGAGCAGTAAAGGTCTTATCATCTTTTAAAATACACTGATATAGGCGCTGCTTAGTTAGCGCAACGCACAAAAACTCGTAGCGCAAACTTCAAAAATTTTTTTCTCAAAAACATCAAAAAGCACTTCTTTAAAAATTTAACCACTTATTAAGGAAGGTTCAAATTTTGAGAAAATAATTTTTCTAGAAAATTCCATGATGTCCTTTGCTCTTTTTTTTAACAATAAAAAATTATTGTTTAAACAAATTATTGAAAAATTAATTTTTTTAAACTTTTTTTTAATATTATAAAAAATTGACATTTTCTCTACAATTTTGAACAAATGACTTTTTCTTGTAGAATCAATAGTTTTCGAAATAAAAATTCTCAAAAAAAGTCATTTTTTTCAGTTTCCGATTTTTCAAATCTAAATATCTTGCAAAAAAATTTTTTTTTTGCAAAACTGTTTGGCACAGTTATTTAGTACCCCAAGTACTACAAAATTACAAACTTTAAGAAAAATCGGTGATCCACCATTTGCTTTTCGTATGGAGCTGCCCTATTCATAATTTACAATAAGAAATAATAAATAATTTTTTTAAAAACTAAAAGAATGTAAAATAAAAAATAAAAAAGTTTTTAATAAATTAAATTTATTAATAAACATACAATTTTTAATAATTGAAAAAAATGGTAGGGGAGGATGGGGCAAGGATAGTTAAGGGGCAAGGATAGTTAGTTGCTGTTATGCTTAGACGGCTTGCTCAGAAATCGCGTAATTCATAGTATATTCGCGTTTTAACACCAAAAGATGATTGTAAAAATTGCAAGTCAATCTGTCGCCATTTGCGAAGTTGGGAGATTATTTTTGAAAAAAGTCTGTTTTGCTAAAATGTCAACGTAATGTTTATCATATTGTTTTCTACATTAGAATTTCAGAATATTTTTTACGTAAAATGTTTTCCGGAGTGGAATTTTCTGCTGAACACGAATATCGTATTTATTTTCAAATTAATTCACGTCGTTCCTTAAAATTTAGAAAAAACTGAAATATGGACTCATGGGGCAAGGATAGTTAGAGATAATACGGCACGGTAAAAGCGTGTTAATACCATTGAAAATTTTAAAAAAGTGTTTAATTGTTCTTTTTAGGTTGATATACATAATGGTGCGTAATTATATACGGAAAACGAAGCTTATGACCAAGAAATTGGTGGTCGTCTGAAAAAAATTGTTTAAACTTCTGATTCTAGTTCAGATGAATTTTAATATAATAATTGCAATTCAGAAAATGTTCCATACATATTTTTAATACTTGGGATATCAATATTGAATAGTCTAAAACCAGTAAAATAAAAAAAACAAAAATTTACTGATTTTCTATAACATTTTTGGCATTCGAATTCTTTTAACTATCCTTGCCCCGGTACTGGGGCAAGGATAGTTAAAAATTTTTGTTTACTTTTTCATTCATATCTCGTAGGGATTTGAGTCTACAGTAAAATAATGTACAGCAAAATTATAGCCAAATAACCAGGCTTTCCAAAAATACTTTTCATTTGCAGATACATAATCAAGTTTGGCCGCTAGATCCGAAAAGGTCTTACCTAACTATCCTTGCCCCATCCTCCCCTACTAATTAATGAATAATTTTAATATTTCATAACTGACAGAGATAGAAATTTAATAGAAACACTCTAGTATAACCCAATGGGAAATTTACAACTGGCGGAGTACTGCGCCAGCACTAGCAGTACTGACAGCTATGCTGACAGACAGCACTGGCATAACTCTAAGATGATAACGCTGTCTAACGCTGGCGAAGTACTGCCTGCTAGTGCTGCGGCCAGACAGCGCTGGCGCAGCAGTGGACCAGTGCTGGCTGAGAATATTGCCGCAATAAATGCCGAATTGTTATTTATTAGTCGTAAATTAATAATTATAAATAATTTAACAACAAAATGGTAAATAATATTAATAAATAATTATTATTATTCATAAAATATTTCTCTTCTTAAAGAAATTGTGTTAAAGATGGAGACTAACAATGGATATAGTAAATGAAGTGGAAAAAAATTGTCTTCCCACTATTGTCAGTACTGGCTCGGAACTGGATTTCTTCCGCCGGCGGATCTTATTCTTCTGCGGCGTCGGAAGAATGACGGATATGTTAAGTCTTTAATGGCTCGGTACTGGGGCGGATCCGACTGCGGATCTCGTCATTTATTGTCACATTATAAATTATAAATAATTATTACAAGTAATTGCATTATTTTAGAAAATAATTATTAATAAATGAATCTAATCAATATATTAAGTAATTATTTATTTAGACTTATTTGAAAATTAAATAATTAAAAAAATTTGTTACTAATTAATATTATATATTATTAATTAACATTAATATTATTGAAAATTAATAATAAATTATCAATATTAATATTAATATTAATTA